AACAACAACAACAACAACAACAAATCCCAGCACACAAAGAAAAGCAGGAAGGTGTGACGGCTGGGTGGCGGTTCTGGAGGCAATGGGACCCCACAGGACAACACACAGTTCCAGTGCCTCGAAATTTCTCTATACCAGACCCCAATGTGTAAATCAGAGAGAGAGACATAAAAGACAGCAGGGAAAGGGAGCCAGATCCTACCAATTTGAAAGGGACCTGAGGTGGAGGGAGGATGGGGCGCAAAGGAGTGGAGCTGTCTCTTGGGGTGCACTGCAAACATGGACTCCTAAAAATTAAGGAACGCCTCTGTGTGCCAGGCACAGCCGTTCCTGTGTGAGCACCCCAACAGCCAGGGCACACACAGCCTGGCATGCATGCAGCATGACATGCACCTCAAAGAACACAAGAATTTCAGACTTAGGAAAGTCTGGCATTTTCTGGCCACCCTCATCAAGCAGGAAAGAAAGCACAGGATCCCGGCAGTCAGCGCTGTGCACATGGGCAGAGCCTCTGCTGCTTCTCTGAGTGTGCAGCTCCACAGGGAGATGCAGGGCCCATGGGAAGGGAGGCTCTCGGGGACCCGGCCACCCCTGGGACTCCAAAAGACTGTGGACCTCGGATAGAAGCCCCCAGGCCCACTCTGGGACAGCTAGCGGCGGTTCAGGTCTCCTGAAATCCTGTCTGGCAAGTGCTCTGCTCCAGACGTGCTGCACATGGACACGTGTATGCACCACTGTAAATACTGGAAAATCCTCACCTGGTATTCTGTTCATAGAGGATGCCAGCAGCACTGTAACCGTGTGACTCTCTAGCCACAAGCAGTGACTTGGCACAGTGTGTGAGGCCCAGGAGGGCTGCACATTGGGGCTCTGGACACTAGGGCAACACTAGGACACTGGGTGCTGACACTAGGACTGAGCAGGCGTCATCAGCAGCTAGTGACAATCTAAGCGCCTGTGTGGCCCATAATCTCTAAGCCCGAGCCCTGTAGGGCACACATTCTTCGCATGTTGTGAGTCAAGGACATTAAGAAACTTGCCCAGGTCACACACACATCTGTCCCTAAGGTCCCTGTCCTTTACCACCACTGACCATCACTCCCTGAGGCAGCCCACAGGACACTCACCACCAGCGGCTTACAGATGCCCAGCTGCACAGTGCCTGGGGGCACGGCCTTCAGCACCTCCACGGCGTCCACGAGGCTGGCGTCCTCCAGGCTGTACTCGTTGACAGACACCAGGCGATCCCCAGGTAAGAGTGCCCCGCTCCTCTCGGCGACACCGTCTGCAACCAGGGAGCGGATCACAATCACCGACCTCGTGGGGTCCAAGGGGTCCTGCAAACCAAGGGAAAGGGACAGTCAGTTTCCCTCCTGCCAACACAGAGGCCGGGCTGGCTGTGTGCCGCGAGCCCACCCGTCTGAGGGCTCACACCTCTAGAGGCTGCACAATCTCTGTCCTTCCACAACAACAGCTGCATGGTCCACGTGCACAAGCTCCCTGCTAACAGTGATACTTCTTGGGACCAGAAGAGACCTGGGGACAGCAGCGAGGAGCCTCTGCAGTGTCTGGCCTGTCACTCTACGGGCTAGGATGAGGCCACCTTGAGTGCCCCGGGCCACAGC